TCTTTTCCAGGCTAAACATACCCAGCGCCTTCAACTGCTCCTCATATGGCTTGGTTTCCAGACCCTTGATCATCTCGGTCACCCTCCTCTGTACACATTCCATCTTGTCCGTTTATATTATATTATATCCGTTGTTGAGCTATTATAATGAATCCCATCCATGATCTTCAATTTCAAGTAGAAGTGTTTGATTTTTTGGCTTCTGGGAAAAAAAAACACCTTTCTAATAAACAATGAAAGGTCACCGGTTCTCATTAAAACAGGTTCTGCTTTCTGGCGCAAGACAATTTAGCTAAAATAAGCAAATTCACATGTGCCTCTGTGTTTCCCCCCATTTTCCTTTTGCGGATCTTTCGCTGCCCCCCCCCAATCATATCATTCCCTCGCTCCACTAATTGCATTAAGATAGCAGTTCTTGATAATTCCTAATTAAGTTCATTGTATGAATCAATGAAATAAAACACCGTTAAGACCCAAACATACAACCGTCTCGGCGATTCCGAGAATAGAATTTGTGCCGTTAGACCAATATTGCCGAATTAATTGTTCCGGCCCGCCTTTATTTATTTGCTTTATGAATGCCTTCCCGTGAAATGTCCCAAAGTGATTAGCCATAAAACAGCAGCAATAAAACCAGATATAAATACCATTTCCAGTCCAACACGAAGAAAACCTAGGCTAGAAATCTCCACTTAAAAGGTTTGCTGATGGAAGAATACTGCATTCTGCCTTCCTAATTATTCAGGAATCTTCTTTGGGTGGGGACCTGCTGTTTGGTGATGAGGCAGAGATAGACCAGTTTGATCCTCATCTATATTTCCCTTCCATTACGGGTGGGGAGGAATTAAATTTGGCTTGCATTTATGGGTGAACCTACCAGCCGATGTTAGAATTCCTGCTCCGCGATTGCAGTCACGGTTGTGAAACTGTCCTTGCACCGAAGACCACCTGGTGCCTTCAATATACAGTTTCTGGTGAAGGCTGAACCTCTTCCCACCCAGCTTTCGACAGTCAAGGTGTATATTTATAGCACTCACCTTATTTCTGTGATTGTAAGTTGTTTTAAATTGATTTTGGCACCGTGCCGCAATGTTGCATTTTAATGTCGCAACCTGTCCTGGGAACTTACGGTGAAGGGCAAGTGATTAGAAATATTATTATATATTATCATGTCCCATTATCATTTTCTGAAACAATACGTTGTGGAAAATCAAACCTTTGCACTACGATTAGGGTAAAGGTCTGTCTATTAAGAGAAAGCAATTGCATTGCAGAAGACCCCACCCCCAATCAACCAGACTCTCTTCTAAACTAATCAATAGGCGTTTCTGCTTATTGATGGAGCTAACAGCTTTTTATATGGATGGCAGAAGTTGTCGCAACCCGGTTAATAAGAAACTATCCTTACAGGAGAAACACAGGGGAAAAACAGCATTGCTGAAATCAAACGTTGCATCCTTCCTCCAGTCTTTCATCTTCTCTCCCACTTTCAGGCCAACTTTTTCCTTATGCTCTAAGAGAGACGTGGCCTTATGAATTTAAGATCTGAACAGCCTCAAGCCCATCACAGGACCAGGGCCCCGCAGATCCCAGAGCCAAACATGGAGCTTGCAGATTGTGAACCAAAATGCAGGGATCCTTCGAAATCTGCTCTCCTCCGAATTTTGCAGTGAAGTTCTCCTGCCAAGTCACAGGTTCAGAAGTGCATACACTTCTTCTTCTTGTTGTTGTTGTTTACCTCCTGCAGTTTGGTCAAACTCATGCTGGTAGCTTCGAGAACACTGTCCAACCATCTTGTCCTCTGTCGTCCCCTTCTCCTTGTGCCCTCCATCTTTCCCAACATCAGGGTCTTTTCCAGGGAGTCTTCTCTTCTCATGAGGTGGCCAAAGTATTGGAGCCTCAGCTTCAGGATCTGTCCTTCCAATGAGCACTCAGGGCTGATTTCCTTCAGAATGGATACGTTTGATCTTCTTGCAGTCCATGGGACTCTCAAGAGTCTCCTCCAGCACCACAATTCAAAAGCATCAATTCTTCGGCGATCAGCATACACCACAGGGGTGCAAAGCGTACATGAAAACTGTGTGTGTTAGTGACATACACAAAAGTCAAGTTCTGTTAGGGGAAATCGCTTTGCAAAAGGTAATAATCAGGAGAGTGTATCTTAGGCAAAATTGCAAACTGTTAGGTGAAATTTGCTTTAAAACCTCATGAATTCTTGTGAGGGCTCTCTCTCTCTGTTTGTGTATAATATCTCAAACTGGCATGCAACTGGGGAGAACTGAGTTAAAGTTTTGAAAAAGGGGAAACAGAAATTGACCGAGGAGCTGGAATATTATTAATTTTGGAACACAATTTTTTTATTGATTTTCACAAATTTTCAATCTATGTTTTTCTTGAAATTTTGACTTCCCAGCCTTTCCTCCATGATGGTTCTATCCCCCCACCCCGTATCTGTGGCTTTATATAACATACTTTTATCAAATACAATGATCCTCTATTTCGCTTTCTGTTTTCATTCAGCTGCCGTAATTCAAACCGTGCCCCGTGTTTTCATTTGAAAATAAAATCGAGGAACCTAGAATACTGACAGATTTTCCCATCCCTGCTGGGGAGATGGGCTGCTGGACGTGTTGCTGAATAGGAACCACCCCCTCTAACTCTTAACTCACAAACTCCCTCTCTTGTTCGATCACTTCTCCTCCGCTCCACCTGTTCCAGGGTGGGATCCATGCCTGGCCTCCCTCCTGTTCATCGTTGCTGCTGTTGCTAACCATAGAGACAGGAGAGCTAATCTGTCTTGACACTCAAAACATGTTAATTTGCAGCAGTGGGTTAACCAATTGATTGTCCCCAAGGAGTGGAAAGCAATGCAGGGCTCATCTCCTTTGGCAAGGAAGGGGCACCCATGCCATAGGTAAGGTAAAGGGACCCCTGACCATTAGGTCCAGTCGTGGCTGACTCTGGGGTTGCGGCGCTCATCTCGCTTTATTGGCCGAGGGAGCCGGTGTACAGCTTCTGGGTCATGTGGCCAGCATGACTAAGCCGCTTCTGGCGAACCAGAGCAGCGCACGGAAACGCCGTTTACCTTCCCGCCGGAGCGGTACCTATTTATCTACTTGCACTTTTACGTGCTTTCGAACTGCTAGGTTGGCAGGAGCAGGGACCGAGCAACGGGAGCTCACCCCGTCGCGGGGATTCGAACCACCGACCTTTTGATCGGCAAGTCCTAGGCTCTGTGGTTTAACCCACAGCGCCACCCGCGTCCCCTACCCATGCCATAGAAGGGGCAAATTGGTCCATTTTTTGTTCTATCAGGCCACATTTGCACCATCCATTTAAAGCACTACAATAACACTTTAAACAGTATGGGCTTCCCCCAAAGAATCCTGGGAACTGTAGCTTGTCAAGGGCACTGAGAGTTTTAAGGAGACCTCTATATTCCCCTTGTTGTTTAGTCGTTTAGTTGTGTCCGACTCTTCATGACCCCATGGACCAGAGCATGCCAGGCACTCCTGTCTTCCACTGCCTCCCGCAGTTTGGTCAAACTCATGCTGGTAGCTTCAAGAACACTGTCCAACCATCTCATCCTCTGTCGTCCCCTTCTCCTTGTGTCCTCCATCTTTCCCAACATCAGGGTCTTTTCCAGGGAGTCTTCTCATGAGGTGGCCAAAGTATTGGAGCCTCAGCTTCGTGATCTGTCCTTCCAGTGAGCACTCAGGGCTGATTTCCTTCAGAATGGATAGGTTTGATCTTCTTGCAGTCCATGGGACTCTCCAGAATCTCCTCCAGCACCAGAATTCAAAAGCATCAATTCTTCGGTGATCAGCCTTCTTTATGGTCCAGCTCTCACTTCCATACATCACTACTGGGAAACCCATAGCTTTAACTATACGGACCTTTGTTGGCAAGGTGATGTCTCTGCTTTTTAAGATGCTGTCTGGGTTTGCCATTGCTTTTCTCCCAAGAAGCAGGCGTCTTTTAATTTCGTGGCTGCTGTCACCATCTGCAGTGATCATATTCCCCTGTACGGAAGTATAATTCCCAGAGATCCCCAAGAAGAGGTGTTGACTGTTAATCTAATCTAGGAATTGTAGCTCTGGGAGGTCTTCTTCTTCTTCTTCTTCTTCTTCTTCTTCTTCTTCTTCTTCTTCTTCTTCTTCCTCTTCCTCTTCCTCTTCCTCTTCATTTATGCTTTTCAGATTTGTACATTTCACTTTCATTTTAACATTTCAAACTTCGACTTTCTTCCCCCTCTTTCTGTGGTTTAAATTAAATTTATTTTTAATATCTTCTGCATATCCAAATTAACTTAATTTACTCATTTATTCATCTGCTTCATACTCATAAAACCACAGGTTATTCCAGTAATCCTGCCAATGTTCTTATCTGTTTACAGTTTATCTGTAACTACTCAATAAACCATTTCCATTTTTTAAAATAAGAAGTTTGTTATCTTGATTTCTTATTCTTCCAGTAAGTTTCACCCTTTCTGCATATTCCACAAGTTTTTGTATCCATCCTTCCTTTGCTGGGACTTCTGCTTCTTTCCATTTTGGGGCGAGTAACATTCTTGCCGCTGTAGTAGTAGACGTGAATAAGTTTCTATACAGTTTAAAGGGGGCTTCTAACAGATCTCAGCTCACAGTAATGAGATTAATTTATCTCGGGATATTTTGGTTGACTTGCCACTTGGGGAAGGGCTCATCGGTAGAGCACCTGTTTGGCATGCAGAAGGTCCTAGGCTCAGTCCCCGGCATCATCTACAGGTAGGGCTGACTTCTGCCAGTCTGTGGTGACAATATTGAATTTGATGTACAATTGGCTTTCTTGTTCCTGTCTCCTGTTGCTTCATTCTGCTTGCTGGCGGGTGTCCCCTATGGCTATAGAAGTCCCAGGAAGAATGGTTTGGGGTAGTTTGTGGCTAATCTACCTTTACAGGCCAAAAATGGGCAACAGCTTCTGCTCCTCCAGTTAATCTGCCCTTCCCTTTCTTCCCACAGGCCAGAAGAATGTCCGCGTCACCAGCCTTCTGATTTGCCAGGGCCTCCTCTGGGTTGGCACCGACCAAGGCATCTTGGTCCTTTTGCCTGTGCCCAGATTGGAGGGGATCCCCAAGATCACAGGTGAGTCTCCTTCTGTTGCAGCGAGGATGGGGAACACCTGTGGTCTTCCAGATGTGGCAGGGCTCAGCATCCCACCTGCCCCTGCCAGGATAATGGGAGCTGGCGTCCAATCCCAGAGCCACTGGTCCTCCATGCCTGCATTAGAATAAGTCAGAGTTGTGATAGTAATAGTAATAGTAATAGTAATAGTAATAGTAATAGTAATAGCAATAGCAATAGCAATAGCAATAGTAATAGTAATTTATTAATTGTACCCCGCCCATCTGGCTGGGTTTCCCCAGCCACTGTGGACGGCTTCCAACAAAAATTAAAAATACATTAAAATGTCACACATTAAAAACTTCCCTGAACAGGGCTGCCTTCAGATTTCTTCTAAATGTCAGGTAGTTGTTTATCTCTTTGACATCTAATAGGAGGGCGTTCCACAGGGCGGGCACCACTACCGAGAAGGCCCTCTGTCTGGTTCCCTGTAGCTTAGCTTCACGCAGTGAGGGAACCGCCAGAAGGCCCTCGGCGCTGGACCTCAGTGTCCTCGCAGAATGATGGGGGTGGAGACGCTCCTTCAGGTATACTGGAACGAGCACCAACACTTTGAATTGTGCTCAGAAATGTACTGGGAGCCAATGTACCGGTAGGTCTTTCAGGACCAGTGTTATATGGTCTTGGCGGCCACCCCCAGTCACCAGTCTAGCTGCCGCATTCTGGATTAGTTGTAGTTTCCGGGTCACCTTCAAGGTAGCCCCACGTAGAGCGCATTGCAGTAGTCCAAGCGGGAGATAACTGTTCAGGGAAGTTGGCTACCATCCCATCATTTTATTGCTCAGATTTTTTTTGGGGGGGGGGTCTCCATGTGGCCAAGTCACATGACGCATGTTGTTGGAGGGGAAGCGGAAATTTGATTTTTGCTTTTGGAGCTGGGTTGGGACAATTGCATTTGCTTCTGCTCCTCCACCCACCCTCTCATCTTATTTATTCATTTGCTGCATTTATATAATCCTGCGTTTTCCTCCCAAGGAGCTCAAGGTAGCTCTTCTCCCCCTCCTACTTTTATCCTCACAACCACCTTGTGAGGTAGGCTAGGCTGAGAGATGTAGGGATTGGCCCAAGGTCACCCAGTGAGCTCCATGACTGGGGGGGGGCAGATTTGAACCCTGGTTTGTCCCAGGTCCTAGCCCAGTGTTTCCCAAACTTTGAGTATCCAGCTGTTTTTGGACTACAACTCCCATCACCCCTAGCTAGCAAAACCAGTGGTAAGGGATGATGGGAATTGTAGTCCGAAAAAACAACTGGAGACCCAAGTCTGGCAAGCACTGTCCTAGCCTGATGAGAGCCAGTGTGGTGTAGTGGTTAAGAGGGGTGGACTCATAATCTGGTAAACCAGGTTTGCGTCTCTGCTCCTCCACATGCAGCTGCTGGGTGACCTTGGGCTAGTCTCACTTCTTTGAAGTCTCTCAGCCCCACTCACCTCACAGTGTTTGTTATGGGGGAGGAAGGGAAAGGAGAATGTTAGCTGCTTTAAGACTCGTTAAAGGTAAAGGGGCCCCTGAACATTAGGTCCAGTCGTGACCGACTCTGGGGTTGCGGCGCTCATCTCGTTTTATTGACCGAGGGAGCCGGACTACAGCTTCCAGGTCATGTGGCCAGCATGACTAAGCCGCTTCTGGCGAACCAGAGCAGCGCACGGAAACGCCGTTTACCTTCCCGACAGAGCGGTACCTATTTATCTACTTGCACTTTTACGTGCTTTCGAACTGCTAGGTTGGCAGGAGCAAGGACAGAACAACGGGAGCTCACCCCGTCATGGGGTTTAACTCCTTAGGGTAGTGATACAGCGGGATAACAAATCCAAACTCTTCTTCTTCTTCTCTAACCACTGCACCACTACTGCCCTTCTTAAAACAAATTTCTGCTATCTATGAAGCTGGTTTCTGTGTTCCTAAAAGGGCTCATGTGTTTCTCTCTCCACTGCTCAGGGAAAGGTATGGTGTCCCTTAATGGCCACTGTGGCCCGGTGGAATTCCTGGCTGTCGCTCTCAGCACCC